TAAACTTTTGAAGTTCCCTTGTATAGAAAAGCAAAACCAAAACAAACCACACCAAGTGCCATTTATCTACCACTCATAGTTTCTAGGAACTGCTGAGTCAAGGTTAGCTGCTGCTGTTATTATCACTACACTTTTGTTATTACTTCACTATTGTATTTAGTAATCACTGATTCAGCATTCCTCAGAAGCCATCCTTAACTTTTTCATTTAACCCAAAAGTCAAGCCAAAAACTATCCTGGAATCCTGTTTTCAGTCTCCTCCCCAACTACTTTTCTTGCAAGATCACTAAGCCGTTAAAGATAGCTTTATCAACGTTTATAAATTTACCAGTTTATTCTATTTTATTTATTTATTTTGAGAGGTTTTTGCTATGGGGTGTATGCGCTCACCAGTAAGACAGAGAGACAGAAAGCAAGAAATCACCTCCCGAGGAGATGGCCACGCTGCAATCCTTTCTCCTGCATTTTCCTCTCGGGATCTTGGGCACGCATGCACACGTGCCTGGCGTGAGTTTAAACCACTAGGTCTGGCACTGCAACTACAGTTGACTACATGGAAATCTAGCAACATAGCCATTATACCAACTGCTGGTCCCTAAATTTACCAGTTTATAACAGCTTGTAACTTATAAGTGAATTTTCTAAAGCTGAATCTATATGGATATTCTATATTATCTTATGTATCTTATTATCTTATAAACCTCTCTTTTGCTGCATTCTATAGTAATAATTTATTTATATTAAATACTAGTTTCTTTATATTTCCCTGGGTGTATTATTCACCTTCTACCTCCTCTATCATATGAAGTTCCATCACTGTCAATTGCAGTCAAATTAGTCAAACAATCTTAATATCCTACACAATAGATTCATTGGCATTAACAAACTATAAGAAAATCAATAAAGTCCACAACAAAAACCAATGACTGATTATGAAATGCAAGTATTCCATTTTAAGTTTGAAGTTAACCCTGCTCTCCTAGGACCATTCACAGAACTCTAACTTAAAGAGAATTAATGCTGAACTAATGTTTCTTCAGAGGTCCAGATATCATTAGCCCTGTATTTTCTTGATTGGAAGAGAAAAATCACCATTGTCATAAATATTTAACATGACTTGAAAAGTTTGAGGTGACTTCAAAAATGTCACAGAAAAACAGAATTAACATATGAATCTATATAGAACCCATATAGATTTGTTTTTGGTGTAAGTTTTTGAAATTCAATACACAGTTTTTCAAAATATATATCTCTCACACATACACTCCCCTTTATTTTTAAGAGGTTGTTATAGGGCACGTGTGCTCACCAGAAAGACAGAGACAGTGAGAGAGAAAGCGAGAAACCACCCCCCAGGGCGGATAGCCACACCTCAATCCCTTCTCCTCTCAGGATCTTGGGCACGCACATACACGCGCCTGGCTTGAGTTTAAGCCACCGGGTCTGGGACTCGAACTGCGGTCAACTACATGGGAGTTCAGCGACATAGACATTACGCTACCTGCTGGTCCCACACAGCCCCCTTTTCAAAGAGAGGTTTTTGCTATAGGGCACAAGAGCTCACCAGAGAGAAAGACAGGCAGTGAGAGATTACCCCCCCCCCAGAGGGTTAGGCTCTGCTGCAATCTCCTCCTCCATTCTACTCTTGGGATTTTAGGCACACACACGTGTCTGGCATGAGTTTTAAGCCACTGGATCCAGGATTCAAACCATGGTCGACCACGGGGGAGTCCAGTGATGTAACCATTATGCCATCTACTGGTCCCTTTCACGACCCTTTTAAAAGACATCTTTTAGAATTATAAATATATAATCCTAACTGCTTTTTTGTTGATACAGTCTAACTATAAAGCTTCAATATGGCATGTTTCTGAGCACTTCCCTCTACTTCTAATTTTTTTTAAAAAATATACGCATTCAAGGAGAAAAGAAACCATGAAAATAAAAATCTTTAAGATTGGAGATTGTGTTTTAGAGGGGAGGAATGGAGAAAAGTGGGAAAGGAACTAGAGTTAAAAATGTGGTTTGAAGAGTGATTTCATCTACTGATATAAGTAGCTCTGTAAACCAGAGGAATCCATATTAACCCTAGATTTCAGGTTTTCTCCAGTAGACAAAGCAGGGACTTTGAGACGTGAAAAAGTCATGAATTTAAAGTTAATAACATTTTACTTTGTTTCTTTAAATTTCAAGTTTACTGAACATTTAGAGCTTACATAAAAATTACAACCCAAGATGAATTTATTACAGGAAATGATTAGGTAATAAGCTTGAATTTCAAAATAAAACAAAATCTCAACTAAGCACAACCTTTAGAAAATGCAACCTGCCTTCCCTGCCTTAGTTTTATAAACCTGTTAACCCACTTTGACAAGGATGAGACTAGAGAATGGCTGGTAACATCTTCCAAAATAGGTAAAAGGAACAAGTAAATTAGTAAATTAGAGTTCTTTCTCAAAATTTATACACAGAAATATCTTTACCTACAAAGAATGGTATTCTCCAAAGATACCAGACAATGGTAATGTTAGTACATCATCAATTAAGGAACTACCTGTTCAAAATCATTACTAAACACAAAAAATATTTGTTAAAATACAAACAAAATAGAATTACCCTATGACCCAGCAATACCACACCCAGACAGCTAACCAAGAGAAAGGAAAACATGTCCACAGAAAAACCTGTATGTGAATATTCACAGCAACATTAGTCACAATAGCTCAAAAGTTGAAACTCAAAACATCCAGGTATTGATAAACAGATTTATAAACTGTAGTCTAGTCATACATAGAATATTACAATTTGTTTCAGTTAGCAATAATCACGCCTCGGATACACCTCATTAGCTACGATACTGCCACTGCACAAAGCTAGAATATTACAATTTGTCAATAAAAAGAAATGAAAATACTGATACAAGAGTGCATTAAGAAGTTCTCTTTTTAAGAAAAGAATTATTTAACTTTATTTACTTACTTTTAATTTGACCATAGAGGGACAGAGAGAGAGAGAAAGTGAGAAAGCAAGCTACCAGGCCTGGAACTTGAACCACGGTCAGCCATGTGGGAGTCCAGAACCCTTAACCATTACACCATCTGTCAGCCCCAAAAAGTTCTTGGAAAAATGAAATTAAAATACAAGTTTTTTGGGGGCAGTTTTTTTTTTCATTATACACATTTTCATTAACCTTCTGAAGATCCCCATCATATATGCTACAACATGGATAAACTTTATTATGCTAAATGAAAAAAAAAATCACGAAGAACCACATATTGCATACTACTTATAATAGGTAAATTTATAGAGATGGAAAGTAGATGGTTCCTAGAGGTTAGTAATGAGGTATTTTTGAGGGGATGATAAAAATGATCTACAATTGGGACCAGCAGATGACATAATAGTTACATCACTGGACTCCCACACAGCCGACCGTGGTTCGAGTCCCAAATCATACCAGGTGCCTGTGTGCGCGTGCCCACCCAAGATCCAGAGAGCAGTATGGCCGTCCCCCCAGGGGGTGATTTCTTCCTTTCTGTCTGTGTCTCTGGAGAGCCCATATGCTCTATAGCAAAAATCTCTTAAAAAAAAAAAACCAAAAAACAAAAAACTACAATTATAATGGATCATGATTATGGTTACAGACTCTGTAACTATACTAAAAACAATGAACTACAGTAGACAGGTGATTTTACTGATGTAATATAAATCCCTGACCAATAAAGCTGTTTTAAAATACACATTAAGGCATCTGGAATGACTAAAAGAGTAAGATTGGCTGATTTGCAAGAGGATCTGCATTTAGTTAGCCATGATGGGCCTGGTGGTAGACATGCTAAGTGTAAAAAGTTTTTCTACCCTAGCATTCTAGGAATTAAGATGGCAAACCCATAGAGAAGAAAAGTAAGTTCTTTTGACCCTACTTTCTAAACTGCCTCCCAAATCCTAACTAAAGTTTACCATCTTAAATTGATTAAGACAAATCATTCTCTTTCCCAAATCTTCAAATTTGCTGGTTTTAACAAGGCTAAGAACAATTCATGTCACAAGTAGGGGGAATTCCAGATAATCAATAAGCCCACAACTCTAGGGAAAATGGATGGAGGAGATAAAGAGCCAGGAAGCTGGAATCTAAAAAAGGTAATAGCCTGGACATCTGAAAAACTGCAAATGATACAAAGTAAGATTACAAAGTAAGGAAATAATTACTTGAGAACTGTTCCCCTCTAAAACCACTCATTCCAAATACTCTGGGATACCTCATTACTAACCTCTAGCAACCATCTACTTTCCATCTCTATAAATTTACCTATTATAAATAGTATACAATATGTGGTTCTTTGTGAGTGATTTTTTTTCATTTACCATAATAAAGTTTATCCATGTTATAGCATATATGATGGGGGTCTTCAGAAAGTTAATAAAAATGTGTATAATGAAATAAAACTATGCCCCCCCAAAAACTTGTATTTTAATTTCATTTTTCCAAGAACTTAATGCTTTGGGAAGTAGAAAGCTTTACATTTCTTGAGCTAAAAAAAAAAAAAAAAAAGGCAAAACAACCTTAAATTGTTTTGGGGGTAGTTGTTTCTTAATTTATCTTAAGTAATCTTTAAATTTCCTTCCAAAAAAATTGTATTCTGTTTTTCTCTTAAATCACTATGTCTCATCTCAGCACTGCCTCATCCAGTCTAGGAATCAGAAGCCCAAAAGGAAAGCTGCACTAAATGTGTGAAGAAGTCACAGGCAGGCAAGCCCAGCCCAGGTGTGTAACACTGCACACATAACTCCAACAGTCACAAGTGATCATCGCTTCCTTTGAGAATAGCCACAGGCCAACACTTAAGACAAGCATCATGTGCATTACATAACCACAACGAACTAAAACACCGTTATTCCCATTTCACAGACAGGCTCGGGGGCTAGGGAATCTAGCCAAGGTCACTTTCTGTCAGTGGTGATGCCACATTTCACTCAGAGGTTTTTTATTTTCCCCACAGACCAACCTGTTTCCAGTACATGGCTAGGCTCGCGACCCTCAAGGGCTCTTCTTGGAAACGCAACCCTCACCCGCCCACCGGAAGAAATCCACAGGTGAGTCGCAGGAGCCGCCGCCTGCACAGGCCCCGACTGCCCCCTTAGGCCGAAACCGCAGCCCCTTGGTTCCCGGGCCTCGCTCCAGGCGGGAGCGTCGGCTCGCCCAGCCCTTCCGACCCCCGTGTCCCATTGTTCCCAATCTCACTCACCTCAGGAGACGCCGGCGCAGGCCCGGCTGAGGCGCTTGTGATAAGCTCTCGACGGCCCAAAAAGCTCGGTCGGTGACGGCAGGATCCGCGAAGACGTACTCGACGACTTCTCCGCCTCCCCTCAGGCGCCGGATCAGACGGGGGCGCTTCACCCTCCTCGCGAGACAGCGGAGACCCTGGCGGCGGCTTCGACCCCTGTGACGTAAAGCGCTCATCACCAATGGCAACCTTGGGGCGGGGCAGAAAGCGAGCCCCACCCCCAGCTGCCGGCGCGTCAAAACACAACCCCCGCCTTGGTAAACGCCTGCGCAGTAGACGCGCGGCTGCACAGGGGGCGGGGCCTCGGGCGCTCCGGCCCGAAACCTTGCCCTGCCCCCACCGCCGGGCCCAAACCACGAAAGCGGAGACCCTGGATGGCAGAAATCAGTACCACCACCATCATTCTGGTTATTAGTTGTGGGAGCTACAGAGGCAGTTACCTGACTTTCGCGCCTAACTTACCCGGAAAACTCAATCACTAGCTTGATCTTAATAAACCTCAACAAACTCTGAGAAGTTGCTAAAATTCTAGTGAACAGATAAGGGAACTGTTAATCGGAGATTAAGTCTCACCTTCGATTGCACAGTTAGGAAGTAACACCCGGATTCGAATGGGATTCAAAACCAGGCCCCAACCAGTAGCCTACAAAGTCTTCGGAGTGAGAGCTACTCCAGTCTGGGGAGAAACAGGGTGGTCTGAACTCTTCCTCAGTTAACTTTTTTTTTAACCTCAAAGAACTGCTTTTCCCTTTCTAACTCCATGAAATCCGGATTCAAATCCTAAAACGATACCTCAGATATAGAGAACGCCTGAACCTGACGTGGCCATTAGCACATTCTACTACGCAGGCCTCCAACGGGAGCGTTCCCAATATTCTAGAGCTGAACTTCGTAAACTCGCGTGCCAAACTGCTGTGCTTTCGGCTTAATCTTTCACACACGTGCCATTCTAAGCACATAAGGAACAAATACTTGTTGACTGGTACGTACCTTGTGCCGGGTAATACGTACCACGTATTTCTTAAACACATATTTACTTCAACAAGCTATTGCTAAAATAGCTCAAGTTTCTTTAAGAAAGGTTCAATTAGCATGGATTCCCACAGCAATCCGTCACTGTTATATAAAGTGGTATTCTTATTTATGCCAGGTCAAACGTTTATCCATGTTGTGTGGGAACGGATGTACGGATGTGAGGGCAAAGGGAAGCTAATTCTTTCAGGGTTAGAGGTCGAATATAATTAAAACATGCATAATTTTAATATAAACTTTTAAGTACACAGGTAGACTCATCCTGTATTAATAATGCACTATATCTTAAATCAACAAAAAAAGGTGGAACAGCTCATCGACCCCCTCAGACGACAAAAAGACGGTTTTTAGCCCACTTTCCGGTTTTTTCATTCCCTCCCTGAAAGGCGGGCTTGGCCCCATCACATGACGCTGCTGCCAACCCTGGGCGGAAGAAGCCAGCTCCGCCGACCGCAAAGGCTCCAGAAAGCGAGTGGGCGGGCATTCGTGCCCGGCTGAAAGATGGCCGCTGCCAGCCGACAGCCATCACCCGGGAGGTTACTGTAACTCCCGCGGCTTCCACCCGGGCCCGCCGACTGCCGCCGCTTCCTTACCATGAAGCCAGTGAGTCGCCGCACCCTGGACTGGATTTATTCAGTGGTAGGTCCGGGTTCTGGTGGGGCTTCACGGAGTCGACTCCCAGGGTCCGCAGGCAGAAGGGCCCCTACTTCTTCAGCTCCCAGGAACTCCAAAATCCATTTCTGAATTAAGCAGCTCACTCCCACTCCTCGACTCCGCCTCTTCCTGGAGGACACAGTCTTCCGCTTCTTACGTAACGGCTCCTGGCTGTACTCCCCATGGAAACCCGTTTACTTGTTTGTCCTTATAATTCACACCTTAGCAACGACACATGGCAACAGGACAGGGGTGGTGGGGAGTAGTACCGCTCACGTATAGTAATTTTTTTGATTCTGATTTTTTTGGTTTGTTTTTAGTTGCTGCTTGCGATCGTGTTACTCTCCTGGGGATTCATAATCTATGCATCAACAGTAGCTGCCCAGCGACAGCTAAGGAAGGAATACCCTGACAAGTCTTTGGAATAAGTGAAAACAGTTTGTGATTCCTCTGGGCTTAATTCTCTGCAATACAGTTATTTTCTTATTTGACACCTATGTAGATTTAAACGTAAAATTTATAATACAAAATTTTCTAAGTTTATTTTTGTATAGTTCTTTATAATAATCACTGATATGCTAATTTTTAAAATATTGACACTTAGAGATTTTAGTCTACTATGTTCTCATTTGACAAAGGCAGCCTAGATCTGACAGCATTTAAGTATCAGATAAAGAATAGAGTAACAAGCTTTTCAATCTGTTACTAAAAATACTTTTAAAATGCTTCAGAAAGCCTTCTTAAAATCAAAAGTGTATTGTTATACTTATTGGAACAATTCACCGTGTTGCATGCCCTCATACCAAATTACAGTACTGCAGTAAGAAAAAATGTATCATGTGACTACATCTCTACATCCTGTTTTCCAACTTAATGCTTACTAAAAGTAGGTGGTCGTTCAATATCATTTGTTTAGAATGTCTAGTTTTAACTTATTGTCAAATTATTCAGTGTCAGGGTCAGCAGGTGGCATAGTGGTTAAGGTGCTGGACTCCCCTGTGGGGGTTGGAGTCCCAGACCCAGCAGTTTGAAACTCATGCTGGTCATGCATGCGTGCATCTCCAAAAATCCCTAAAGGAGAAGGGAAGAGAAGGAATTGTAGTGTGGCCATCCCCCAGGGGGGTAATTCCTCACTTTCTCCCTCTCTGTCTCTATGGCAAGTGCCTTATAGCAAAAATCTCTTTAAAAAAAGAAAAAGTATTCAGAGTGTCAAATCGTACAATGTTTGGGAAGAAATATGCCAACCTTTTTCTGAGAGTAAACTTTATTAAAATTACTTTTCAAGAGTATATTTCATATTGCAGTAATGTAGGAACCAAGTTGGGCTCATAGGCCTTTGAAATTGTTAAGCAATCTTCAATGATGTTGATCAGGAAATTCTTTCATTGGTGGAATTATTTCTCCAGTTTCCAGAATTGTATCACCCTAGGAAAACAAAGAAGTGTTTAGTAGAAAAATCTTCAGTCTACAGAGATGGGTAGTTCTATTCTGTTCCGTGTTAGTCAGACCTTACATGGAATATCTAATTGAACTCTTGTATTCACTTTGAAAGGGACTTAGACAAAGTAGAAATTGTCTAAAGATGAACAACCAGTATTCAAAATATTAAAATACAGTGAAAAAATAGGGGATGTTTCACTCAGAAGGAAAATAACCAGAAAGGACATGAAAGTTGTGTTCTCCAAGGGATAAAAAGATAATCTTTAATTTGTATCGCCCCAAGAAATAGAAACCTTAGGAACAAATTGCAGGGAAGCATGCATCTTCAATACAAGGAAGTAATTCCCAGCAACTGAATGTGTTACACAATCACCAGTTTTCCCTTAGACACTAGAGACATAATGCAAACATTGGCTGGGCATCTAACCCAGGTGACTTTTCAGACCTAATACAATGTGTGGTCCAAAGGATATGGGCTTTAAAGCCAGAACCAAATGGTGAGAATCTTGGAGCCTCCACTGACGAGCTGTATACTTTCAGGCAAATTACCTAGCTTCACTTTCAGCTATGTGTTTAATATATTCCCTGTCAGCCTGACAATCCCTGAATGACTTGGTAGAGTAGAATTATCCCTATTTCAACTACCTGCCATTCCCTGACCTCATATTGCTCAGAACTATTATCTAATAAAGAAATAAACCTTTATTATATTTAAGCCATTATACATCTGGGGGACAATTTGTTACCACAACCAGCTCTAACACAGCAATCACTACCTTGAAATAGTACTAGTGCTACTGTAATAAAAACCAAACTGTTGCACTACTCAGCTTGGCACTGTGGTGGGAAAGACACTGGCAATGGGAGGCTAAAAGATGGAAACAAAAGGCAGTGGCAAACTAAAATGTCTTCTAAAGTAACTTGGATATAGACTGCCTAATGAACTTGAGAGTCTAAGACAAATATCTGGAAAAAAGTTATGTTTGCATAGTACTGGCTGCCTTAGGAATGTACTTTAATGAAACAAGATTAGGTGAATGTGGCTAATTTGGAGAGGAGAAATAAAAATGGAGTGAATGTAAAACATTGGAATTTTATAACATTACTGGAAAGTAGATTGTTTCTGAATCTTTAAATAGTAAGAGATTCTGAGCAACAGATGCTCAATAACTCAGTAAACAGAGGAATTCAGCCCTATGACAAAAATCAGTTGAAAGTTACAGTGGCCTTTGAATCATTGTGTTTCAGATGGCATCCACTGAGTTGAGAGAGGTAGAAGCATGAGGACAAAGAAATCAGAGAACCTGATGACTATATTATATACAGACATTGCCATATGGGATTGTCTTGAAGCAAACTTACACCTACTTTTCTTTCCATGCCTATCAAATGCTGAGGGAAATGAATAGTCAAAGAAACCAAATAGCTAGACTAAACAAGACTGTTAATGTCTAAAATTAAAACAACCCATGGCACTCAACCTTCTGTGAGCAGAAAGCAAATTCTGAAGGCTATACAAGCCCTAAGGAGGGCATGCTTCTCAATACCCATTTAGATGTGGTCTAGGTTGACAAAAACAACCTATGGCACAGAGCAGGGGTCAGGAAGAACAAAGGTATTCCTTGCAGGAAACAAAATCACTGCCCATTCAAGTGACTTCCCACACAGAGAGGTTAGGAATCCTTACAACATTTGACCAGGAAGATTTCAAGATATCTAGGATAGAGACTGCTGTGTTTCTCAAATTGCCTATGGAACAATGGCTGTAGTTGGGGGGGCATGGGATACAGTTAACTTGTCTTCTTAGTTCATTGATCCTCAAATTAAGAGAAGTCGTATCTAAACCTGAGATTCTAATGGACTTCATCTGGAGACCTTGGATTTTGGGGTTGGCTGCAGTGATGGAATGGGACTTTGGGATTTCTCCCTAGGGGATGAATTGAGCATTATGTGTGAGAAGAGAAGGAAGCAAAGAGCAACTTGGTGACTAGAAGGGTGGGCTATGGCAGAGATTCCATGCATGGAGTCTGGGAAGTAGCAAAGAGCACATAGATATCTGGGACTAGTGAATGAATTCTGGCTAGTAGGATCTGAGAAGTAATATGAGCTACTTCCAAGCTTAAACCTTAAAACATCCTGAGACACCCAGTGCTTTCTTCCCCTACCACAGTCTTTGAAGCCTCATCTTCTAGAGGCACAGCTATAACATCAAGAATAGTCACCTGATTTAAACTCATCTGTGATGTCAATAACAATTAAACATTTTTGTGTACGGCCAGCTACACAGTTTGAATCCTGGCCCTAAAAGGATGAAATATGTATCAGGCATGTGTGCGTGTATGCCCCAAATCCCAACAGGATGGAGAAGAAGAGAGAAGTTGCAGCATTACCATACCCGATTGGTGGTGGTGGTGGGGGGGTGCTTTCTCCCTCCCTCTCTATCTCTGAAGGGTACATGTGGCTTCAGGTAAATTAAAAGAGAAAAAGGAAAAGAAAGAAAAGGAAGGAAGGAAGGCTTGTTAAGCCACTGAGATTTTAGAACATAACCTATTCTAAAAATGTATGTACAAATGGGCATTCTTCAGTTTCTCAAGAGGGAAGATTCTCAAAGGGATCAATGGCACAGAAACAGAAATGAACCACAGTAGCAAAAAGTACAGAAAAATGAGAAATGTTATAGAATCACTATACTGATGTGGTCTTCTTCCTTTGAACAGCAATGGCAAAACAAATAGAAAAACAGAAGTCTGAATAAATATAAATTATATACCTGATAAAATCAACAAGATTTTGAATTTCATATTTTGAGACTACTTAGTCCCTGACACACATCAATTATACAATGAAATAAGAAAAGAAATTCCCTAGTACTTCCTAAAGCAGAGTTCCCATTGGGATGGTTAGTCAATTTGGGTGGTTCTCCCTAAAATTCCCTCTGTTAACAATCAATTACTATGACTATATCACTGGACTTAAGCAAGAATCTATGCTAAGTTTTGTTTTTCAAAATGATCAGATTTGGAGTTGTAGTAGTTCATTATCTGTGATGAGAAGTAGACAAGAACATAGCATATATTTTACTTATATATGTTATATTAAATAATAAGGGCCAATAATAATGGCTAAATAATAACCTCACAAATAGCCAATAAAAATACCACCGAACTACTGAGTAAACTTTTTTCCTTTTTTTTTTTTTTGTTGTTATTGTTGTAGGACACGTGTGCTCGCCAAAGAGACAGAGAAAGGGTAAGTCCTTTCTCTACTGCCCTACCAGGATTTTGGGCACACACGCACCATGCCTAGCATGATTTTCAAGCTGATAGTTGGAGAACCACTCAGCTGGTCCTATCAGATCCAGTGTCTTAACCTCCACACCACCTGCTGGTATGGGGCAAACTTTTAATGTTGAATTAATACATTTTAAACTAATATATGGCTTAAATATTTATAGTATAATATTTAAAACACACATTAGTGAATTTTAAATTCACAAATGGAGAGCTTAGGATCAAACCTTGAAAATTAGGTATAAAACCAGGAGATTTGGAGCTGAACAGAATTCAGTTGCTGACACCATGCTTTGGCATCTGCTTAGTCTAGTGCTGAAGTCCTTACCCAGCATCAAATGGCACCAGTGAAAAACTGTTGGCACCTTCAACTCACTTTTGGATGATCAGGATCATAAAATAAATTTTATGGTCAGGATGAGAAGTGTGCCTACTTCCCATCTTCAACAGTAGTCACTACCTCACACTATTTCCTCCTTTTTGTTATGGTTCTTGTTTTCCTTTGTTTATAAGCATATACAAAACTGGTACTTAAAATGACAGAAAGAAAGGAACATTTTAGTCTAATGACCACTTGGGGAATAGAGTAAGAAGAGAGAAAAGTAATGAACAAAAGAAAAACCAGAGAAGTATTAAGACTTACTGGAAATATCCTGGGCTTCGTTTCAACAATGGCATATGGTTTTGTCTGCAATAAAAATAACTGTTAATTATGGTTTAAGAGTTTCTATTAAATAGGCATCTCAGAAGCAACCAGATCTAACACTTAACTTCCTCCAACCCAAAACTGCTCCTCTCGAAGTTCTCTATTTCAGTAAATGGCATTTTCATCCTCTCCACTTAGAAAAGCCGAAAATGATTCCTCAGCAGTTCCTGTTGGTTGTACCTTGAAAACGTACCCTAAATCCAGCAGCTGCTTATCACCTCTAATACTACCACCTTTACCTAAGCCTCTATCATTTTTCAACCTGAACTACTGCAATTGTACTCACCAGCCTCCCTGCTTCCACTCATGCCCTCCTGCAGTCCATGCTCCCACACTGCAGGCAAAGTAGAGTGATCCTTTTAAGATGTACCACTCTTCTGCTCAAAGTTCCACAATTTTTAGAGAAAAAGCTGAAGTTTGGCTGCGATCTCCAAGACCTTACATGACCTACTCTTGATAAAAATAACTTTCATTGACAGAAAATAATACTTTTGTTCTCTAGGGCCTAACATGCCAAAAGAGTAAAACACCAAGACTTTTAATGATAAAAAGTGGCCTATGGATAAACAAGTTTTTAAAAGTCCAACAACAATAGAATGTAAATTATTCTCTGATTCTCAGAGATATAAGGCATTAGCCCTCTTTAATGGTTGCAGGAAGATTTTCTGTTGGTTTATACACTTTAACCCTATCATATCCCAGTAATCTCATGTTTCTAACATATTAGACAGGCCATGTCTGATTGGACATCCACAGAAACTACTATGGTAGGACATGATCCTAAACAAATTTACCTCCTCTCCATCACCAGAAAGCCCTTTTCTCCAAATACCTACATATAACCCTCAAGTCTACACATTTACAATAGAAAATTACTCTGAACTTAGATTTTAATCCCAGGTTAATCAGCTGATCACTTCAGGTGTTTCTTCCTTTAAAAAGTGTCCTCTTGGTTTCACTTTTCTTTTTTATCCATTATCGTCACCCTAACCTGATTCTCATCAGCTAACAGCTACTAAACAGCAAAAGCCTCTAGCTGATTTCCCAGATGTCAGAGCCTTCCTCCCTTCTACTCACTTTACTTATCAATGATTTCCTATGTTTTCTTCGATATAGGCATACTTCCCATCTTATTGCACTTTACAGATACTGCATTTTTTACACACTGAAAGTTTGTGGAAATCTGCATTGAGCAAGTTAATCGGCTTCTGTTATGGTTTCAATATTAGTCTATCCCCAAAGGTTTGGGAATGTGGTTCCCAATGTAATAATGTTAAGAAGTGGTGAACATAGGGCGAGCAGGTTGCATAGTGGTTAAGGCACTGGACTCCCACATGGCCAACTGCAGTTTGAGTACTCCTAGACCTTCTGGCTTGAAAATTATACCAGAAATATGTGCATGTGTGCCCAAAATCCCAGGAGGAGAAGGGATTGTGGTATGGCCATTCCCACTAAGGGATGATTTCTCACTTCCTCTCTCACTGTCTCTCTGGCAAGTATAAGTGCCCTATTGCAAAATCTTAAAAAAAAAAAAAAAAAAAAAAGGGTGAACTGCCTAATGGGCAGTGATTGGATCATGACGGCTAGATCACATGAGGAATGGATCAATGCTGTCTCACGAGAGATCAAATTCTATTTCTTCTAAGAAAGGGTTAGTTCTCATAAGAGTGGGTTGTTATAAAAGGAAGATGACTGTCCCTGGGTTGTAGTCTGCACATGCCTACCATCTTCTCTGCTTCTGTCAGCTATGATGGCTGTGATGAAGGCTGGCCTGATGCTAGTCCTATGCCTTTAGACTTTCTAGCCACCAGAATCATGAGTCATATAAACCTTTTTTTCATTATATATCACTCAGTCTCATGCAATCTGTTAATGACACAAGAGTATCATTTTTCTAATAGCATGTGTTTACTTTCATGTCTCTTTTTACATAATTCTTACAATAATTCATACTTTCCTTTATTACTATATCTATTATGGTGATTATGATAAGTGATCTTTGATGCCACTATTTTAGTTATTTTGGGGGCACCACAAAGTACACCCATATAAGACAGCAAAATTAATTGATAAATATTGTATGTGTTAGAACTGCTCCAGCAAACAGCCATTCACCCATCTCTGTCCCTCTCCTCAGGCCTTCCTCTTCCCTGAGACACACAATATTTAAAGTAGGCCAACTAATGACCCTACAATGGCCTCTAAGTGTTCGAGGGAAAG